CCCACCAGCTGCTCCACAGAAGAAAGATGAGGTAGTCTGCTTCCGTAAAGACTTGTAGCCTTGGAAACCCTATAGGGCAGTTCTACTCTGTCCTCTAGGGGCACTGTGAGTTGGAATCAGCTTGGCAGTGGGTGGGTAGGTTTTTGATAGATAAGCTTTACCGAGTTAAGGAAGGTCCCTTTCATTACTACTTTTTGGAGAATTTCAATCATAAATAGAAATCTAACTTTACCAAATACTTTTAAAAAAATTATTAAGATAATTATGATTCTCTTTCCATGATTCCATTAACAAACTGGGATATGCACATGGCATACCCTCGCTTGCTAAAAGTGAAGAAGACTTGAAGCACTTACTGATGAAGCTCAAAGACTACAGTCTTCAGCATATATTACACCTCAGCATAAAACAAAAATCCTCACAACTAGACCAATAAGCAACATCATGATAAATGGGGAAAAGATGAAAGTTGTCAAGGATTTCATTTCACTTGGATCCATAATCAAAACCCACAAAAGCGTCCATCAGTCAAGGAATCAAACAATGTATTGCATTGGACCCATCTTCTGAAAAAGACCTCTTTAAAGTGTTTAAAAGCAAATACATCACCGTGAGACCAAGATGCACCTGAGTGAAGCCATGGTATTTTCAGTCACCTCATATGCCTGTGAGAGCTGGAAAGTGAATTAAGGAAGACTGCAGAAAAATTGGTACATTTGAATTGTGGTGTTGGTGATGAAAGTACCCTGGACTGCCAGAAGAACTAACAAATCTGTCTTAGAAGAAGTACAGCCAGAATGCTCTTCAGAAGCGAGAATGGCCAGACTTCGTCTCTCATACTTTGGTCATGTTGTCAAAAGGGACCAGTCCCTGGAGAAGCATGTCATGCTTGGTGAAGTAGAGGGTCAGAGGAAAAGGGGGAAACCCTTAATGAGATGGATTGACACAGTGGCTGCAACAATGGGCTCAAGCATGGGCAACTGTAAAAATGGTGCAGGACCAGGCAGTGTTTCGTTCTGTCATACGTTGGCTCACTATGAGTCAAAACCGACTCAATGACACCTATCTGCAACAATTGTTGAGTCATCCTTATTATCTTAGGATAAACCTTACTTGATTACGGTTTATTAATTCACTTCGTGAGTGTGCAATCTATGTCGTTGTATTTTCAAATTCACTCATGTTGGGCATTCCTACTTCCGTAGTGATACTGCCTCGGAAACCCAAGGAGGGGTCGCTATGAGTCGGGGCCGACTCGATGGCAAACAACAACAACATGTATAATTGGTCCTAGTAGTCTTTTTTCTTTTTCATCATTTTTACCATTTCTCAAATCTCTATGATATCTCTAGTTTTTTCTCCATTTTCAGTCAGTATTTTATTTGTGTCTCTTCTTGTCAGTGTTGCCAGAAATTTCGTCTTCTCAAAGAGCCAGTTTTTGATTCAATATTTCTAAAATAACTTCAACTGGCCCATCTCCATGTGAGGCAGTATGACCCAGTGAAATGGATACTCTGCAGTAAGAAGGACCTGAGTTCGCATCCCTGCTCTGCCACAGGCTAGCTGTGTGACCTTAAACACATTACTGTACCCCTCTGTGTTTACTTTCTGGTCTGTAATAAGGGAATAAAGTCCTTCCTTGTGCAATAGCTGTGAGAATCAAATCAGAAAATGTGTATAAAGCCCTGGAACAGCATGAGACACACAGCAGGGGTTCAGTGCATGTTGAGTCCTGTCTTCTATGCCTTTGTGTTGTGCCCTTGGCCTGAAATGCCCCTTTCCTTGGCACCAGTGTGCATGATTCCCTGGGTGGTGCACACAGTTGACACACTCAGCTGCTAACTGAAAGGTTGGCGGTTTGCGTCCACCAAGAGGCACCTCAAGGAAAGCTCTGGAGACCTACTTCTGAAGAATCAGCCCCTGAAAGCCCTACAGACCCCAAGTCCACCCTGATACGAGGGGTCACCATGAGTCAGAGTTGACTTGATGACAACTGGGCTGGTTTTCCTCAAGCAGGTGCAGCCCCCACTCACCCTCAGCCCACTGCCAGGTGTGGGCACAACCTGCACACTCTGCCCGGTGGCCCTGCCCTCTGTGGCTCCTTCTCATGCTGCCCACAGGCATCAGCTTCCTCGGGGAAGTCTTTCTTGTTCTCCCCTGGCTGGAAGTCATCTCTCTTTCCTTGGAACCCACATCACATGTCATTCATACACCTCTTAAGGCATTTATCTTCTTCTACCTCATGTTTGTGTTACTTTGTGCAAATATCATAGCGGTCCAACAGGATGAAGCCACAGAAGTTGGGGACTGTAGCTTAGCTGTCTTTAGATCCTCATTCTGCCTCTGGGGCTCAGTAGGTGTTATTTGTATGCATGGTTGAGTATCCACTGTGGCAGCTAAGAAGAGCCTTGGATATTGTGTGGACTGGGGGAAGGAATTCACTAGAGGCATGGGTGACGTGAGAGCACAAGTGTGAAGGTGGTGCCAGAAGACTAAACAAGATGATGACAGTGATGGTGATAGTGACGGGGACAATGATGGTGATGATGGTGATGGTGACTAGGATGGTGTGGAGGGGAGCACTCACTTGACCTTACCCTCTGCCAGGCACTGTACTAGGCGCCTCCGTGGTTTATCTCAGTGCCGACCCTGTAGGGTAGGGGCCACGATGAGGTCCACGTTGCCGCTGACGAAGCTGGGCACTGACTGGGTGGGGGTGGGTGTTCTGGTCCCTGGTGCCGCTCTGACAGGAATGTACCACAAATGGGACGGCCTTAACAAACAGGAGTTTATTCCTACAATTTGGAGGCTTTAAGTCCAAGTTCAAAGTGGCAGGCTCTAGGGGCTGGGTGAAAGCCCCCCAACCTTGGGGTCCAGCTCTGCCTCATGCTCCCGGCCCACTGGAGCTAGAGGCATTTTTTCACTCAGACAGCTGCTGGCTGCTGAGGCTGCCAAGCCCAAGGTTGACAAGTAAAAAAAAGGCACAGTCCCAATGTTACCAAACCACACAGCAGGCCATTAATCCAAGTCCATTGTAAGTCCCAAGGTCAGCAGAGCATGGCAGGCTGCTGAGCAACGACACGGCTACATGCAGGGTCCAAGTGTGCCATAGGCTAGAGACCATTCCCAAAGACTTCTTCTTATAGACAGGAAGCAGACCACATCCCAAAGGCAGCTACTCAGCTGCTTGTGGTAAATCCCACCATGGAGTTGATTGTCAGTCTCATCATGGGGAATAACTACCTCCAGCTGCCCAGCCACTCAACTGGGCCCAGCCAAGTTGACACACAAACATAACCACCACAGTGGGGCTGGAGCTGGGACATCAGGCCTGGTTGGCCTGACTCTGCGCTTCAGCCACGACTCAAGCAGACTCCTCCAGCTGCCATTTGTTGAGGACCCACTGTGTGCCAGGCTTGTGTTTGATGCTTCATCTAATCCTTATCTCTAATCCTTACAGTAAGTGCCTAAAATACAGGGTGTTCTCTCTTTGCAGATGAGGAAACAGGCTCCTCGAGGTTAAGTGACTTAACTGAGGTTACATACAGTGCAAGTGGTGGAGCAAGGTTATAACCAGATCACTCAGCCCCCAGAGTCCAGGCCTTCTCTGCATCATGGGCACAGTGTTTGGGGCCTCTTGCGACTCGAGGGAAGAAGGTTTGTGTAGGAAGATGGAAGAAGCTAAGGATAGAAAGGGGTCCATGGTGTTGCAAACGTTAACACACTCTGCCACCCAAAGGTTGAAGGTTAGATCCACCCAAGAGTACCTCGGAAGGAAAGCTTGGAAATGTTCTTCCAAAAAGACTCATCCCTTGGAAATCCTGAGTGGCATGTGTCTACGCTGGCACACGTCGAGTCCTGAGTCAGAAATGACTCCATGGCGACAGGCTAGAAAGGCAGGCCAGCCTCAGGCTGCATGGGGAGGACCTGGACTTCCAGGATGGGAAGTTAGGACTTTTCTAGGTGAAGAAACCCAGCAGTGGCTTTGAGTGGAGGATGAGGTGGGATGGGCTGGATGTCCGGAGGCCAGGGGACTCCAAGCTGCCTGGAGCTCTGTGGCTGGCACTCGGGGAAGCTAGGGCTCAGCACAGATCAGAACCCCCAGGCCTGCTGAGGGTGTGCAAACGAGCCCCTCCCGCGCATGGTGGCATCTCGTGCTCTGCTTGCTGCCCTAGGGCATCAGGACCAACTGTCCTCAGCTCCTGCTCTCCTCTGGAGTGGCTTCTGAAGAACTGGGAAGTTCCCAGGGCGGGAGGGTGGCAACGTTGTCAAGGGTGAAGTGCCAACAGCACTGCCTGTGGCCTCCCAGCACCCATCTCCTGGGCTCAGGTTGGCTCAGAAGTGGTGCACAGGGGGTTGGATTCTCAGCCACCAGTTACCCCAGGCTGAGCCAGTCCTCTCGGGGCCGGGGGTGGGTCTGTGGGTGGGTTGTCATGATGTGCCCTGCCCTGTCCAGGTCGTTGCCGTGGTCATGGACCTCTTCACTGATGGCGATATCTTCCAAGACATCGTCGACGCTGCCTACAAGCGCCGGGTCCCTGTGTACATCATCCTGGACGAGGCAGGGGTGAAGTCTTTCCTGGAGATGTGTCAGAGCCTGCAGCTCACCGACTTCCGTATCCGGGTGTGTTCACGGCCACGAGATGAGAGAGAGACTCCCTCTGGCTCCTTTCTGCCTCCTCCTCCTCCCCATTTCAGTGGCTCAGGGGAACTTGAGGATCACAACCCCTTTCCTTCTGTCTAAAGCCTTGCCTCACGAACAGAAGAGCGCTAAGTCGTATGCCCAGCTTACATGTCCTCCCAAGGCTGCTGAGGCTGACGGAAGCAGCACTGGCCCAGACCTGGGCCATGTTGGAACCTCTGAGTTCACTGTGTGGTCTAAAGCATGAAGCCTGTGGTTTCACCTGGGGCCCTTTGGGAACAGGCAGGAACCACCCTGGGCTTGTCCACACCCAAAGTGAGGTTGTGTGACTTCCTCGCATGCTCTGAATGGGGGATTTCTGGGAGACCTTGGGAAGCAGAGAATCAGTGAGGACAGGAGCCAGCAGGCAGGGTCCTGGGGATAAGCAAAGACTTAGTTCAAACAAGGTGACTGTGCCTTTCTCCTCAACAGAACATCCGTGTCCGCTCTGTGACAGGCGTCGGCTTCTACATGCCCATGGGGAAGGTCACAGGGACCCTGTCGTCCAGGTTCCTGATGGTGGATGGTGACAAGGTCGCCACTGGATCTTACAGGTGAGTTGGGCCAGGTCAGAGAAGGGCCTGCGAGGCCTTTAGTCAAGGTAACTGTGCTGGAAAATGCCAGACTGGAGCCATCAAGGTCGTGGGTTTAACTAGTATCCCCTGACCTGGTGGCAGAGAAGAGCCTCCCAGCCGTTCCTTCCCCTGAAACCTCCAGGTTACTGAATGTTTCCAGATAGAGTCCACATAACTGAGCATTAAGCACTAGAGTCCCGGGTGGGGCAAGCAAAACACTTCACGTGCTTGACTGCCAACCAAAAGGCTGCAGGTTCAGATCCACGCCGAGGTTCCAGATAGAAAGGCCGGGTGATCAACTGCCGAAGACTCAGCCGCAGAGGACCCTGCGGAGCACAGGTCTCCTGACACATGAGGTCGTCGTGGGTCGGCATGGACGCAACAACTAAGTTACCTTCGTGGTCCACAGCAGCCAGGTGCAGCTTCAGGAGAGTTGTTAAGTGAGTCGTGCAGGAAGTCGAGTGGACCAATCCTGGGAAAGCAATGTGAGGATGTGGCAGAGAGGCAGCGGGGCCAAGAATCTGATTCAAAATTCAGTCGTCAGGAACGTGCGAGCCTGGATCCATGGAGACCCTGCCCTC